AGCTATCGGAGCAGACATCTTCGTTTCTGGGGGGGCCAAATTCGGGCACCCGATCTGACTATTTCCGGATCTCGTCTGTTGTTCGGACAGCCTTACGCAGGTACAATTGTCAAATTCACACCGAACTTCGAAGGTATCCGGTGCCAGATTCACTTGACTCTGCAGATTCGCTGCTTCAAGATTCCAACTAAGCGACTCGTCATCACGGGTCTCCTCCAGTGTAGGAGGTGGTGCATCTTCGGCCGTCTCCTTTCCCGTCATTCGAAGACCGGGAATTGGGTAGAACAAGAAACCGGCCGATAAAGGTGGGTCGGCGTCTCGCTTGGCAAAAGGAAATACCTTTTGCAGATTTCTCGAATGCATTACTGCCTCCTGCTTCTCCTGTCGCCTCCACTTTGCTCGCCTATTTTGAAACCAAACCTAACCGATTGAAAAAGGGTAACAGGGAATAAGGGAATTTATGAAAAAAACTTCACTACAATTTTGTTTCAAAGTAGGATTTCGAAAGTACCAACCAGTAAATCGGTTATATGAAATGTATTGACCATATTTCGTGTAAAATGATGAACGACTGATAGTTGAATTTTCCCAAAATCATATGAAAACACATGATGCCTCCAATGGATTTCAGATAGCCTTGCTTTCAAAAAGGTATTATCATCCAGAGTAGACTGCAGTTTCGACATCGTCTAGGTCTCACAATCACCCCAAGCATGATGCGAGCCATGACGGCGCCGCTGGTAATCTCGAAATGTTAACGCTTACGCCACATTGCCACGAATGCCCTTGGATCATAGGGCAGATGTGAATTTAAAGGAAGGTCAGGCATATTAACATATCAAATTATTTGGTGGGATTGTCGATGAAGCAAACTTGTATTTGTTGTACCAATTGACTAGGCTACTTATTTTTCGTTTAGAAGATGGGTTTCGGAGCTGCCAATAACCGAGAAGTTAGTAATGTAGTCGATTGCCATATTGCGAATGTAACATAGTTCACTCTCCTGTGAACCTAATGACTCTGCGCTTAGCTTTCGTTGGTCATGGACATCTTCAGAGTCAGAAACCATTATTTACAAAAAAACAATAAACGAAGAAATGTAACCAGGTGAGATTTTATTTATTTCTTAAGCGTCACTTTGTGAACTTAATGAGGTATTATATGATTTGGTTGGCTATTTTTTTCTTGTCCTACATGTGAGTGGAAATATGTAGGCAGAGGAGGAAATGTGGTCATAACTCTTCTTTATGTAAATAAACTAGCGTATGATTATGTCATCCTAAGACTTGTTATAGTTTCGTCGATTTGTGTGCGTTGTGTGTATGTCATAATCAATTGCTATTTGGTAAATTTGGGTCCAAAACCAGATTTCAGATTAGTCAAGTCGTTTCTTCTTACTCTGTAGATCTTCTTGTTCCCTTTCTCTTTCTATATATATATATACATATTTATTATTATTATTATTATTATTATTATTATTATTATTAATATTATTATTATTATTATTATTATTATTATATCCAGCAGCCAGAGATACATACAAACGAATAATAAGCAATTAAGTCTATTGTTATAGCAAATATAATTTTGCTTAACCGACAATTCCGCCAAAGAATCTGATATGAGAAAATGCCTGGCCTTCCTTGAAATTCACATCTGCCCTGCGGCCCAAGGGAACTCGTGGCAATGTGGTGTAGTGGATTACGTGTCGAGATTACACGCTGTACTGTCAGTATTCGAGTCTCACTGGGAGTGTTGATAAGACCTAGACGAGGTCAAAACTGCGGTCCACTCTGGATGATAACACCTTTTGTGAAGATAAGGCTATGTGACGTTCAATGGAGGCATCATGTCTATTCATATGATTGTGGGAAAGTTCAACTAAGTGACCTTCATCACTTTAAACGATATAGGATGAGTACATCTCGTAATTTCACTTCGTTTGAAAAGGCTGCTGGAAGAGATTTGTAGGTTGGCTTTATTGGAAAAATAAAAATTATTTTCTTTTGTTGGTTTCTGCATTTTTAACGCATGTTCAGGGTTATTATTACATGTACGTTGTAAGCATGCGATTCTCAAAAGTGATTTACGACCATGAAGCTAAAACCATACTCCTGATCAATCAAGCCTCCTCTTTCTCAGTGATTCTCACTCTTCCCTCTCCTTCCATC